AGATATCCATAATATTAACCTTAGAACTAAGTCCAAACTCATGGTACCACGATTTCGTTTAACTAAGGTAAACGACTCTTTTATGGGGAAATGTATACGTTTTTACAATAAGATTCCGGAGTATATATTAAGATTACATTTCCTAAGTTTAAAACTTACATGAATAGTATTGTAATTGAAAAGTCATATTATAAAATTTTAAAGAAGAGTATAGATTCAAAGTGTATTCTATAGAATTTAAGTTTACTTGGAAAGAGCAATCCCTAGAGTTTCTTGCTCGTTCTTCTCGGGGAGGTCAACGTAGTGCACGAGCAGTACCTTAAAAAATGACGTTTTCAAGTGTAAAAATTTTACCTGGATTATATGATTATTTCTGGATTTATTATTATAGACTGACTTTGAGTGAAATGTATCACTAAATGATCTTTTTTTAGTTTATTGTGTCTAAAATAAATCTAATATAGTGCAAATACAGTAAAATGTTTTTGTTTCAGAAAATGTACAAATACCAGCAAGTTGCAAGAAAACACAAGCCTCCAACTAAAAAGTGAACAAAACGGTAGCAATAAAAGCAAAATATTGTGACGGAAATAATAGTAACTAAACTGTGTTGTTTTGTAAATAAAAGTTATAATATCTATTTCTATAAGCATATAAAAATATAACAAAAAACATTAGGAGACTAAAAAAGAAATTATGTTATAATATCTATTTCTATAAGCATATTTAATACATTTAACAAAATTACAATATAACAAAAAACATTAGGAGACTAAAAAAGAAATTATGTTATAATATCTATTTCTATAAGCATATTTAATACATTTAGCAAAACTACAATTTATCAAAAAACATTAGGAGACTAAAAAGAAATTATCGAAAATAAAGTTAAACGTCCTTGATTTATCGAGTTTTTAAAACTTTATTGAAATAGGAAATGAAACTATTTCTTTGGGATCTAATTCGCGTCACGGAAATTCATGATTCGCATATATTTGTTTTTTTTTTTTTTTTCAAACCAACCAACGTTTCAACTTTCAATCGTGCCCAATGTTAATGTATGGCCGTGACCATGAGACCTGGGCAAGCTCGACACCTGCGCTCGAAACGTTGGTTTGTTACACGACTTAGATTTTGAAAAATAGTTTAATTTCATCCTTGACTTAATTTTTTTTAAATAAGTTTTAAATGCTATGCTCAAACTACAAAACCATAATCCTCAAACTTAACGTTTTTATATTTAGGGGCGCCTTCAAATTATCTAATTTGAAGGCGCAAAGAAGCGCTACAGTGGCGCCACTGTATCACCGCTGCCGCGCCACTACTAAGTTTAAAGGTTACATTGGGCACGCGAAGTAGGTATGTCAGCTATGACCTCATGTTTTTGGTCAAATATTACGATTAGTGATGTTCACTTTATGCAACACAGTTCCCGATTCTGATCGATTTAGGAAACTAAGGGATAATTCTTAAAACCTTAGAAAAAGTTTCAAAAATATTCCTTAAAGTTTGTTGTTATTTATTTTTAGTTTTCCGGAGTAACTTTTGTTCCAAAACACGGACTTAATTATCGTATTCTGGTTTTTTTTTTACTTTACACTTGCGGCATCTATTTAGATATAAATGTCTGTGTTCCCCACAGAAGAAAAAAATGTTCCCAGCATATTATCCTATAGGTTTATTACCAGCAAACATAGCCATTATTTGTGTTAGTCCACGTAATATGTACAGACTTTTTGTTAAAAGTAATCACATAATGTAAATAAAGACTTGGCAAATAAATTTAGATATTGACCTTGACCCTGAAATATGTCACTGTACTTCGCATTAGGTACCTACTTATAATTTGGCAATTATAAAAAAAATAATTTCCACTCCTCATGTTCTAAAAGTACGTTAACATAGACTTACGTAGCGGGATTAAAATGAATCATTTCATTTCTAGGGAGCAAAAATACCAAGTTTTTTAATTTACATCTAGTGCCCTAGACAAACTCCAACAGCAAGTGCTTGCTCAAGTTTTCGCAAAAAGGTAAAGGGGAAATAATATAATTACACCTAAAACAACACTTCAAAATAATCACAAATTCAATAAAAAAAAGTGCTTGTGTGTGGAAATGTACGAAATCATTACGAAAACGTTACGTTCTAAGACTATGCTGTGTAGTGCGTTTGTTTATGGACCATTTTATAAATCGTCGTAGCGTTTTGATGCGTTTGTTGTATTTGTGTTGTTTCTCATTAGAAATCTGCGCACAAAAGCGTATCTTGCACACTAGCGTGGAAAAGGGTTTTGAAATTCCAACTTGACTATGGACTATGGTACACCTAACATTTTCTGTCGATAAAAAAAATATGACACGCGATTTGTCGTACATCACTAATTAGTAGGTAATATAAATCCGTTACTATATTTTATTCTTGTTATTGTTGGCATTAAATTGACCACGGTAACTAATTGTGTTTATTAAATTATTTTAATTCGTCGAAGAACTGAAATAATTTCAATAATCACTCAATCACACAAAATAAAAGTACAAGCAAGAATAAATATTGATGAGGTGTAAATTCAGAACGCATCCGAAGATTAACTTTTTCTTTTAATTATAAAAACTGATGTTATACAAACATGAATTGGGATTTTTTATTCCATTTGTTACCACTGGCAACTACTAGGATATTTTAAATTCCATTTGTCGCCATTGGCAACAACAGATATTTTTTCCCATTTGTCACCACTTGGCAACATATGGGGCTTTTTCCCCCATCTCTCGCCAGTGGAAATCACTACTGGCAACAACTGAGATTTTTTTATCCCGTTTGTCACCACCAACATATGGGATTTTTTTTCTATTTGTCGCCAGTGGGAACAAAGCCAGTGGTGACTATAGGGAATAAACGACTCAGGTTAGTTCTACAAACAGGAAGTGAAAAGGATAACGATTAATAAAAGAATGAATCCAATATTCTTTAATGCTTCATATATTCTTTAATAATATTATTTCATAAAGTTTGAATTGAAGAAATTGTTTAATTCTAGCCATCTAGTATATAACCAGAAATAGAGACGAAATAAGGCCCATATATTCCTAGTAACACATTAGCGATACAGATCTTATAAATATCAACTCTCGTTTGCACTGAAATATAGACAGGCCAACTACCGACATGTGTGTACGTCTCCGTATATTCCAAAAAATATTCTGTATTTATTGTAATAAAGATAATATCTTTAACAATGCCGTGCTGTTCTATTCAGTGGTGTGGGAAAAACAGTAAAACATCTAATTACAAAACAAACGAAATCACATTTCATCGGTAATGAAATATGTAATTTTGCAATTTTCGTCCATTTTAGCAAACCTCAAGTTAACTGGTCGATTTGAAGTGAAACAGTTGACGACACCCGTCATTTGTTTCGAACTCGGGCTAGCCAATCGGAGCGCAGTTATCACAGTAATGATATAGCATAATAGTTTTCAAGCAATTAAATGACATTTCGTCTCTATTTCTGGTTATATACTCGATTATTCATTCTAGCGTACACTTAGGATCTTAAGGCCCAGCTACACGATCCAGCTTTTTTTCCGCAAGTTTACATCAAGGCGAAGCTCGACTGTGTAGACGGGCCATTGCATTAATATTTAAGAATATCACATTATATTAAAATATTCTGACTAAACAATTCATAAACTTCAACAATTACCTCATATTTTAAACATTGCAACATTTATTGTTTTTTTCTTTTATTTTTTTAAATATTCAGTCTCTTAACAAGTAAGTCCACGTATCATAGTATAATTAATTACCTATACTTCGTTTCAATCCATTTTGAACAAAAAGTAAACAAACAAGTCGCTGGCTACCGACCATAGACTGTTTAGTGATGGCCAGTTGTAACACCAACTACAAATCGATTAATTAACTGAATGAATCGATTTGTTCAATTGAGTCATATTAGCGGTTTTCCTTACATAACCTATATAAACATATTTAAAATTTCAATTTAAATCTTCCTTCAAATCCTTACACTTAGATACTCGTTCGATAGCGATTGAAATGTTCGATTTAATAATCGATTACTAAACTTTAATTGATTGAACCGAATGTTTTTTTTTCGAACAACACTATGCAACCATAGGCAAGTCATAGAAGTATAGATGAATAATAACCTCACTTTTGGACTACCTTTTTTCAAATACGATTTTACGATGCTATTCATATGAATATTGTTAGAAAAAGTGATGATATATCAAGTCGAAATCTTCGAAATATACGTGAAAGTGTTACTTATTCGATTTATTAAGTGATTGCTTTAGAATTTTAACTAAATAGGTTTGTTTACTATGTTCAAAATGGATTGGAACAGACTTTATATTGACAGAGCGCGACGCGGCAACAATTCTTTATAAAATAAACAGCGATCGAATTAATATACAAAAAAAACGCGTCGCACTCGGTGCCAAATTCATAAGTTCATAACACTCTCCTCAGTGACTGTCGTATCTGATCATTTTGTCGTAACTTATTATAGTAAATACGATCTTACCAAGCGTTCAAAAACGGACATTCTCTAGTAATCGTCAAATATCTACTTTTTTCACATATGATGCATGTACACTAGGTCGACAGGTAGTATTTGCTTGCCCATCGAAGGCGGTAACCTACTCAGTGTAAACACAGATGGCTCATTTACAATAGGTCGACGGATCACCATCGCTTGCCCGCCGAAAGCGGCAACCTACTCAGTGTAAACACTAATGGCGTATTTACACTAGGTCGATAGGTCACCTTCGCTTGCCACCGAAGACGACCGTAGTTCGCTGCTGAAATCGACCTTGTCGACTAGATGTAGTCCCTGTCGAGCGATACATTTGTTGAACGTTTCGAAAGATAGCGACGCGATTTCGACAGCGCATCGACTGCGCCTTCTTCATCGACCGAATCCACCTGCCGAAGATGCCGCAGTCGACTCGGGTATAAACAGTTAGTCGACTGCACTCACTTCGGCAAGGCGAAGTAGTCGATCCTGTGCAAATACGCCTTGAATTGCATTAATATAATTACTTTAACACGAGTTACAGCTGCTGTAAAATACGTTGATTCTGAAAATTCTGTCTAATACTAGCTACAATAATGTCAGGAGAGTGACGATACAACTCATCAAATGCGTAATTAAATTAAATATACAATTACAAAACACTGTAGTAGTCAATTATGTATGTATGATATTTCGATCTTAAAAATCTTAATCTTTTTTCTTTTTGTACGTCAAGTGACGAACTATTCGTGGACGAGGCAAACCACGCGTCAATCTAAAACAGTTGCAGTGTCACAGGAAACCTTAAATCGCGAAGATCTGACGAGCACTGCCACAACGCCCGTCACCCTGAGACATAAAGTTGACAAGTCCCATGTGCCTATAATTTCACCAGCATCCTTACCCTTCAGAACTGGAACGCAGTAATGCTCATATTACTGCTTTAGGTAAGTTGTCAATATTGAACGTCTTTGAATTGATTACTGGACATGTATGTGTTAAATAGCCGTTAAACTTACTAAATGATTCTTTACAACTTTATTATTTTTAATTATAGTAACAAAACTTACAATCACCTTTCCGTGTTCTTATTGTATTTCAGTATGTAATTTTTAAACGCTTCACGTAACATTACACAATTCTCGGATTTGTAGTAATGATACGTTAGTGGGGTGTACGTAAGGAGCCTCCCCGGCACGACGTACCATAGGCGGTGGAGGCTATTTTAGTATAAGAAGTAAACTTGGCACAGCTTATATCAATTTACATTTTTCATTCATTCCATCCATCATGTCGGTGGATGATTAATTTTTAGGTTAGTGATAATTTTGTAATTATTTGGACAGACATTGGTCAAAAGTGAAATTTATTTATAAGATTGAATCAGTGTAGATAACAATAACTGTTATTTTGTGCACTATTCTACTGTTGAAGTACGATTCTGCCATGGCGCGTGAATTGTTAGTTTTGTAACTATAACTTCTGGGTGAAATTGGTTGCGCGCAATTGTTGGACTTGCCCCGAATGTGAACAATACAATGGATTCACAAAGAATGGCGACTACAATTATTCTCAGTACAATTTTTGTTTCATAAATGCTTCGGCAATATATATTTCTTTACAATACCTCAACATATCTCCTCAACTTATGTAGTACATTTTTCGGTCATACTTCCTTGATTTCTAAAAGACATATGTTAGCTAATGCCATTGCAGCGTTCTGTCGCACCAAAGGATTACCATCTTTGATGAGTTGTAATAGACGTGTTCGCGCGCTACGAGTTATATCCGGATCGAGATCTGTTTCCTCTGGATGCTTGTCTTTAATGCGGTGAAGCTCCGAATAGAGTATACCTGAAAATTAGAGTTCAAATAAAGCTCAATTTACAATGCAATTTCAAATTCGAGAATTCTCGCAAGTGCGCTGTTGTTTGTTGTTGTTGTTAATGTTTTATTTTTTATTATATTTATGAAAATGTTTTGTTGGTCTAGATAGAGTATATACAGGCTTGGATATTGTAATATTAAAGGTATGCTCAAGGCACTGGTTCGAATCCCGCCGAATACATCGAGTTCTTAGGTTTTCGCGATTGTTACACATAGGAAATGAAACTATTTTTCCGGATTTAAATCGCGTATATTTGTTTTTTCAAACAAACCGACGTTTTGGGCCCTTTACATTCAATATTCGACATAACTGATTAAAGACTGTACCACCTCAGTCAACCGTGACCATGGGACCTGCAAAGGGCCCGAAACGTCGGTTTGTTTGAAAAAACAAATATACGCGATTTAAATCCGAAAAATAGTTTCATTTCCTATAACTAAAATATATTTAATTAATAAATAACAAATGATCAATGTCAATGACAGAACTTAAAACATATCAATTTTGAGTTAGGCCGAAACGTCTGAAAAACAGTTACGCTCTATTTTTTTTTTAAATAATAGTGTTGTAACCAATTAATCGCCGAATTTCACCGGGTCAATTCAATTTCACGTAAAAAACATTGACTTATTTAAATATTAAAACAAAAATTAAAAAGAGCGCAGTACTCCGAACCCAAAAGGCAAATTAACATTATATTTTCTTTTTTGCAAATTTTATTACTATATTGAAGATATACTACACATGTTTTTCGTTCATCTTCCGATGGAAGTGAATAAAGATTTAAACTATGAAATATTTTTGTTTTGCTTCAGAATTTTGCTGTTTACAGGTGTAAATTCCTACTTATTATTTATATTAAACTCTATGTTGCTGAAATAAATGTCCATTGTTCTATGAACAACTGAAAACCAATGATCCGAAAAATAATCTAAGCGATCACTCGATCGATCGATTTTTCGTGAGAATCGATTAAGATGGTTATCGATATGTTTAGTTACATCCCTATTTACGTAGCGATGACAAGTGTGAAAAGATGCCTCTTATTCTGTGACGACTACAGTCTTCATTGCGTGTTTTAAGAGCTTTTTTAAGATTGAAAGATTTCCGATTACTCACCTAACAACAAAGGTGGGTGCGGTTTCATCTCATCCCGGGCACAATGTAAATAATTAACCGCAGTTTGCAGACACTTAACCACGCTTCCAGGCATCTCGTCAGCCAACTGCCTGATCAGAGCTGATAGGAAATCGTCCAGGTACAAACGACCCTCGTCCAAGAGATGTGTTTGGACTAGGTCGTTGGATTTCTTCACGTTGAAGGTTTTGAAGACTTGTTTTAGTGTGAATTTACTTGCCTGTAAAAAGGTTTGTGTTATTAATTTGAACCTGTGTTGATACGAGACAATGACAAATGTTCTTGATGATTTCTGTGGTGCACGTTACGATATACAGCACTATAACTATACTCGGTCTCTTTTGAAGACGGAGTAATTTTTTTTAACGCACACACATAGCCCTGCACTAGGGAAACTGAATCACGGGTGCCATGAACACATACATAGACATCCAGAAATTACACCCAAACTCATGAGAGAAATAAATGATATAAATATTTCTCCCGACCGGAGGATCGAACCCGGGATCTCGGCGTGGCAGACCGGCAACAGAGGCAGTTCAGAAAATTCCAATTCACTGCGCATAAATGTTGCTTACAAGCAGCTAGTGATTGCAGTCGACATTCTATCGACTATCGACTGAATTTTGGTTACGATTATGCAATAAATAGGCGAATTCGTTTCCTTCATATGAATCATCATTGGTCCAACTGCTGGGCACGGATTCATTTGAATTGCACTGCATTTAGAACTATGTCTATTAAAAATACAAAGAAGACACTATACTATATTTAAAAGTTTCTCATTTTTTATTCAATATATAATAATAACGCATATACTCAACATAGCCCCGCACTAGGGAAACCCAGTGTCGCGATTGCCATGGACACACACATAGACAAATACAAATTACACCCAAACTCACGAGAGAAATAAATGTAGGCCATACAAATATTTCTCCCGGCCCGGGAATCCAACCTGGGCCCTCTGCGTGGCAGTCCGGCATGGTAACCGTTCGGTCACGGAGGCAGTCAAGTGTATGTCGTAACTATGTGCGTTAAAAATATAACGAGGAGACATGATTTAAAGTTTTCATTTTAATTCAATGTAGAGAATCAAATCCGTCTGTTCATATCATTGACTTACAATTATATGGACGTCGGGTCCGCGCTAAAAAGTGTCCGCACTTGTAAGGCGCTAAAATCGTATACAGAGCGCGACACTCCGCTTTAGTCTTCATTTGTTCAACCGACAGCGCGATACTGCGATGACATTACAATTTAAATTTCGAATAGGTTGACTTGGGACATTTTTTTCGTGGTTTTGGTATTAGACCCGTCGTCCATTTATTTGTAAGTCAATGGTTCATATGGAAATTCATACGAATAAAAATTATTTCGATACTAAAGGCCATCTGTCAAAATAAGAATAAAGAAGGCAATAACGCAATTAGTAATCATTAGATAGTCGTAACATTATTCAGAATTCAGGCATTTTTGGCAAAATTTCACCTTCTTTCACAATCTATCGATAAAACTGTCGACAACGACTACATGGCTATTTAAAAATTTGTGAAAACGGGCAACCCTGCAAATGTCATTTCACTTCATCTTCAAAAAAGACAGACTATATTTAAGTAAAATAAATCTTTGCAGCCGGTCCCAGAAGATGGAGGATTTTCACAAGCGCGTTAAAGACGACTCATAGTTTACTGTAATATAGTAGTTGTATCGAGTTTTAAGGTTTTTACAATAGTCACACATTTTTGGATCTAAATCGCGTATTTTTTTCAAACAAACCAACACTTCCCATGGTCACAGCTGATGGCGTGAGAGTGAGCATGAAACTTGTAAAAGGTATTCATTTCCTAATAGGTAGCTGGATTACAGGAATAGTACCGGTGATAGGTAACAGCAGTGGTTTTTTAGTCAGAACAAATTAAAAGTGAATGGTCTTTTTGACCTTTATTGGTTATTCGTCATTCGTAAGTATACAATACAATAGCATACAAAAATTCTTTATTGTACACGAAAAAAGGAAACAAATACAATACAAATTTAAATAAATATTAGTATATTAATATATAAGATTAGTATATAATACTATTGTAGGGACAAATGGGAAGTGTACGTGACAAGCGTTTTATTACAGCTTCGGGCAGAACTTGAAATTATAATAGTTCTATAGCGTTCGCAACAATCCTTTAAGACGTGTTTAAACTCGTGTAATCAGACAACATCGAGTAAATGTGTTCATAATTTTTATTTAAAAAAAAGACTACGAACGACTGCGAACTTTGCTTATATGTATGTACATACAAACTAAAAACTTAAGAATCGGTCAGCGGAAAGTGTGCGAAACCGGTTTCATCCCCTAGTTTGGCGCCCTTAGAGGTGGAATATTTAGTTCAAATTTAAATGGGGCTGAGGTACCCTCTTTACAACAAAAAAAGAATCATCAAAACGGTTCACAAATAATGGAACATATACACAAAAAATTGAGAACCTCCCCCCTTTTTTGAAGTCGATTAAAACAGACGATTGAGTTTATGGTCACACAGAATTGAGTCAACGTGTAAGCAACAGACGATCGGCAGCGCATTTCTTTTCGATCGGCAACGTGGAATTAAAAAAACTGGAATTGAAATTAGGCATACACCAGGTGCCTACCAATTTGCTCGATTTTAACCCTGATATTTATCAATCGCTAACAGACGACAGTAACGATCGATAAAAATCGATTGTATCTAGAAGCATCTTATAGTTTGGTTGATGTATATACTAGAGCATAGTTTCTCAAAGTGGTCTCTACCGCACCCCAGTGTGCGCTGAAGAGTCCTAGGGGTGCAGAAATTGGCAGACGTTGATGCTTCTAGAGGGTGCTACCGCATTTGAAAAACAAAACCTAAATTATCTATATAAACTACACCACAAATACGTATTTTCTTTCCTCATGATTTGTTTGTGTTAAGTTAATGTAAAAAATACGTGTTTTCTATTATTGGGGACCTATATACTAAAGAAACAGAGAACAACACCCAGAATCTCGACTAGTGTGCGCGTTTAAAAAAAGCTCCGTTTATGACTCCTGTTAACTATTACTTACCCTAACAACAGCCGGGTTATTATCACAAAGGTGCAACAAGAAACATGGCAACGATCCGACGGCTTGTTCCACCAAAGCTTCCGACTTCACTTTCAAGGCGACAATACCAAATAATCGTATAGAATTCTCCCTCAATTGACTGCATTCCGTGTTCATATAGGGACGTATCTTTTGAGATATTGCGACTAGTTCTCGGTCGAATTCTTTGTCAATTTTATCGAGTTCTGTTAGAAGACGAATCAGGCCTTGAATGGCTGCGAGTGGGACGTTGTCTGTTGGTGACCTGAAATAAGTAAATTATTGTTGTGAACATATTCAATGCTGGCTTGCTATGCTTTAATTCTGGTCAGTTAATGGATGACGACTTCTAGTTCTTATATGATATCAAGTGACGGGACGAACAAGTCGTACCCCTGGTGGTGAGCGACACACCTGTCCATAACGGTTGCAGTGCCACTGAGTGCTGTAAATCACAAGGATCTGAGATAACTTGACAAATCCCATATACCTGTAATTTCACCAGCACTCTTACCCATCACATTACTCTTGACGGCAGAAATTGGTAAGGGGGCAGAACTTCCCTGAACGAAACTTTCACAAGGAGCATTACTGCTACCAAGGAGCTCTACTGTGTACGTGTTTTCGGAAATAGACTGGGAGGCATTCTGCGACTTCTATTCGCGTTTGACTATGCCCTAAACGAATAAAATTGTAATTGAGACGAAGTCGTTGTTGAAATTTAAAAACCGCTTGCAAGTAATTATTTATTCTGCAGTCGCCGCCAACAACGAATTATTTCTGACCGCCGCCAATTCGCAGCTGCACAGGAGTTAAAGGTGTCGCTAATGTTTTTCCAAAATTATATTTGTCGGTTTTATGGGTAAACTCTTTAGAACGGAAGGAACAAAGTCCACTGCCTCCTTTTAATAACTGAGCCCCATTAAATCTACAATTATTGCATCTACTACCTTTTGGAATTTGACAAGTCTCAACCTAATCAGGACCCCGATTCAGAACCTTTCGATATTTTAACCGAATCTTTCGATTATATAAGTTAGTCGGTAAAATTTATAAGAAAAATGAAAATCCTTTTATATACATTATTAAGACTTTAAAGACCTAAAATATTTAAGAAATGCATTAATCTTGCATTAAAATAAATGAATAAAATTGAACAAAATCCAGACTTTATTTAAAATAATAAGATATTTCCACATTACACTCTTTCTTTGTAAACAATAGGACGTTCGGTAACTTCATTCGATAACTGTGTTCTGAATAGCGTTTGTAGCCTTTGCCGGTCGAGAAGTTCGAGGAATCGTACGAGTGTGACGTCAATTCGGTTCGGTTTCGAATACGACAGTTTGACGTTCGATTCGGGTGTTGTGCATAAAAGTGAAAGGAAATCGGCGACTACTGAGTTATCGTAAGGTTCTTGATCGACCCCCCAGTCTGGCCAAGGGGTGAGGTACTCACTGAGCGGCGTGGGCGTCGATGCCTTGGCTGAGCGCGTGGAGGGCCCTGGGCAGCACGTGCGCGCGCAGGTCTCCGCGCAGCGCCACCACGTGCGCCGCGCCGCGCACGCACACGGCGCGCACTCGGGGACTCTCGTCCTTCCAGCCCGTGTTCAGCGTCGCGAGGACCGTCTCGATGAGAACCGAGTTGTCGTTGCATCTGTTAAACAAGTCGCTCCTCAACATCAAGTATGTTACTTGTGTAAATTGTAGGCAATCGAATTTCCTAATCATTGTGATAACCTAAATGAATAATCCACCTAAGGCATGGCGTGACGGTCCGCGCATGGAAGGTACCGGGTCAGTAAAGCTGAACCGCGGAGTTTCTGAGGCGCTTTGGACGAGTCTATTACACAATACTGGTACTAATATACCGCCCTGGAGAACTCCAAGACTGTTAATAAGGTCTATCGTGTAAGAAGGTACTCCAGAAAATTTAACGCAATCTGCGAGTAAACTCCATAATTAGACCTATCTCGATTTCATAATTTCAAACAAAAGTAACAGATGCCGTGAGCAACAGTGTCAATAGCCTTCGACAAATTGAAATATGCTTACCTATAGTTAAGTAAATCCGACAGTAAAGCATGAGCAGCACATCTCTGTGGCGGCAAAGGACTCCGGGCGTACGCAGCTACGCGAGCTACCAGTTTAGCCAATTGAGGTCCACAGTCACGGCATAAGGCACCACTTAGAATTGGAGCGAGTTCTAAAAGAGTTGTTGAACTGTCTCCATGTTCTATGCTTAGACAGAGGGAACAGGCTTCTTTTACCTAGAATGTATATTTTGGTATCATTGCAACAACGTTCAACGAACAGTCACATTCAGTAGTGGGTTGTGATAGATTAGATAAAAATTTTAAAATAGGAAATGAAACTATTTTTCCGGATTTAAATCCCAATCACGGTTGACCATGGGACCTGTAAAAGGCCCGAAACGTCGTCGGTTTGTTTGAAAAAAACAAATATACGCGATTTAAATCCGGAAAAATAGTTTCATTTCCAATGTGTAACAATCGCGAAAACCCAAGAACTCGATACATTTTAAAAATTAAATAAACTGAAAAAAAACGATAAATGCCAAATATTATTCTAAACACACGAGATATATTCTTCGTACCTTCTGACAATCAGCTCTTTCCAAAAACGAATTGAAAGTGTTAATAGTAATCTTCGCAGGTGACAATCTAATAGCATCCCTATTGGGTATGAATCCAATTCTCTCCTGTCCTTTATTCTGTGGTATGACATACGCTGGTGGTTCTGCATCTATGTAGCAAGCCAGTGTCGTATAAAGAACCGCAAAGAGATCCGCAAACTTTGTAACGCAGGTAGTACGCATTGATTCTTCTTGTAGCATTTCTCCTAAGGCACTTATTAGCTGGAAACAGATTGGACCTCATTATCTAACTTGAAATAAAAATAGTGAATAATTTGTGTGTATATAGGTGTTTGTGAGAACTCAAGATATTCACTGTTTTATAGGAAATATTACGATCAATAAACTAATACGAATTTGGAAACCAAGCAAACGAGTTATGAGTTTAAATTAGTCAATCACTTTAAAATTATTGTAAGTAAGTTTTTATTGAATGTCAGGATGTTTCACCACTTTTAAAATTATTTCTAAGCAAATTAATAGCGTACAACATAATATTTGCTTTATTTTCAGTAGTCAAGGTTAAAAATTAAAGCTCACTGTTAACGGCTGGAGAGCAGCAATGTGATTCACAGTAATATGATAAGGATCCTCGTAGAGCTCTATTGACGTCATGAGACGCAGGAAATTGTCCACAATTGCTGAAGACAGGCCTTCATCTTTAGCCAGATTACGCCAACATGTCACTACACACCTGTAAACATGTATAAATAAGAAATACTCCATCGAATAACATTTTACATAACAGAAAAACTTCACTTACGGTTTCAAAGGAATTCTCTGTGCTAGCAACACAGCTGTTACAGCATTGGAATGGTGTCTAGTCAAAGACAATAAAGGCTTCACTAATTTCACCGATTCTTCTCCAACTACGTCCATCGTTGACAATATTACTTCTACGATCCTCTCTATACTCTGGAAAAGATCCTGCCCTTTCTTAATAAAAAAAGCATCCAAAACTGAACTGATGCCAATACTGCTATACTCTTGACCGTCGTATCCCTCAAGTAGGCTCTCTATGAATTGCATATTGTGTAGATGTGGAATTTTTGAAGAAATCGTGTCACACAAATTCATGCAGTAGTCAGCAATCATACTCAAGTCATTTGTCAGAATATTATTTTGAAGGTTCGTCAGATTGGCCATGCATTCATCGTCTGGTTCAATCGTATGACCTTCGTACAAATCTTGAATATTGATTATAAGTTTAATGCAGTCTATAGTAGACAGTCTCACTGCAAAATTCGTATCAGCAATTCCAGGAACTATTATACCAAGCAAATATCCCATCTGACCAAATTTACTCGGAGTTTCGTAGTTTAATTTAACATTTTTGATATAAGTATCGAATATAACTTGCAGAATCATTGCAGATGCGGTTCTAATCTCGTCGTTTTCATGACGAATCCATTCGTGCATTAAGCCGATCAAATCGTCAATTGTGCTCAAACACGTTGATTGAATAATGAGTTCTCTGATCAAATGATGTAACAATGTCAAGCTGTCATTTAATGTTTTGGCTAATAGGTCATTTCGATCGCCATTGCCTTCGATTTCGTATTTCCTTTTAAATGAAGATAATTCTCCAAAAATGCTGTTGAATAGTACTCTTAATATGGTGTTTCTTTCTTCGGGCAATATGCCTTTTTGTAGCTTTGTCAATGATTTTGACGCTTTCACGATTATTGGGTACAATTCAACGTTACGTTTTTCCAGATTGTTATTGTATATCTGTTCCAAAACTGCATTTAGAAGTTGCCATCGATTTCTCAAAGCAACATTGTGATGTGCCGCAGGGAACAAGGCATTGCCGATTTCATATAAAGTTGTAATGCTTGCTTTACACAAATCGAAGCTAGGGCAAGACTTTAAAATGTCATACAAAATCGAGGTAACGTTGTCACCCAGTCTAGCCAGAACATGAACGTCTAAACATTCTGATGCTACTTTTCCATAACATGTAATTATCGTGTATTTCACGACACTAAGCTCTAGATCATTTCTGGAACTTCTTGAAGATAGAAAATTAAGAATTTTACTTCCCCTCTTAGATTCGTTTTCTTTATAAAGACTATCAAGTTCGTTCATTACAAATTCCCCGTGTTGCCTTGAAGCGATTCCGACAGCATTGCTTACGAAATCAGTGCTCTCCATTGGAATGGACTTTAAAGCAAGAAGAATTATCTTCAGGACTTTTTCAACTACTGCAGCGTTGGACATGTGACAAGACAGTACCGCCAGATATTGCAATGAAACCCCTTTTATTATTGGCGGTTGTTTCTTAGATAGAATCTGCTGCGACAATATAGACGCTATAGTCTCCACCCATTTGTTACTATTCACTTGCTCAATCGCAGCTACAAGTAAATCAAGTAGCATGCCATGCCACTGTTCCCTTGTTTCAACTTTGTCTACGAACTTTAATAGTCTTTGCATTTCGACAGTCCAAGAATTTTTTAGATTCTTATGGACATCTTCAGAGAATTCTTCGAGGAATACAAGCAAATTTTTGTTTCTCTCAACTTGCTCGGGATCTGCAATGTATGTAATGCATCGAACGAATACAAAGTCTGCTGAATATTTAGATTCTGTTGCTTTATCGATCTGTTCATCAGAAACAATATCTGAATTGTTCTGCAGCAGAGAAGTAAGACAATAACTGACTGTCGACATTGAAGGAGTAAACTCTTCTATTGTCAAGGCTGACAGCAACAAATTTCTCAATTGAGTTCGGACGCTTGTAACCGTGTTGCACATAAGAATTAGAGAACTTCTGCAAGTGTCATGCAAGTCTGAAATTTCCGTTTTGGAAGCATTTGCCGATCCTTCATAACCACAATGTTTAATAATGAAATCTACCATTGCAAAGTCTTCTACTGTGGTTATGCAGTTTCTGTAGACCAGTCCTACAATCGCTTTAACAAGTAGCTTCTTCATTTTCAATCCCTGTTCCATAGCTATCATCACTTTTAGTACCACAATGAATTTTGTCGCATATTTATCTATAAAAACCTGCGAAGAAGTGGTCAAATGTGTCAACACTATAACTGCCTTCATCCTTTCCTTCTCTTGGTTACTTTTACACTGATGAAGCAAATTTTCTATGGTTTGGTCAGAGAATTGTCCTGCCATATGATCGAAGCATCTGAGAACTTCAAAGTGGTTCTTTATTGTATGTGGTTGATCGTAATCAGGATCTATTAGAATCAGATTGAATAGAATATGGTTTAGTGAGTTAATTACGCTGTCATTCAGGGTCAGTTTAGGGTTAAGCGGCGATGGTGACAGCAAATATGAGATACATTGGCTGACGTAGTAAGAATTGATCGTCGGTTTGCGATACATTGATAGCAATGAAGTCACAAATTTGTTGACAGTTTCATTAAATTGTCTTTCTGATATAAGTCGGGTGATTGGACCAAGGGCTTCGAGTACTGATTCCGATACTTTAGGTTCGTGCGAAAGTAACCACTGGTTGTACAGCACATCAAAAATTATAGAAAATTCCGTAACAAAATTGTCTTTTATGGATGTTATATTGTCGTTTTCGACATTATCGCCTATTTGCTCGGAAACGGCGACAGCAAAATGGCCGAATGCTGCAAAAGAAAATATTGACCTATGATTTATAGAAACAGGAAATTATTTCCGCATGATTGTGGAAACAATATGAAACAATTTATACATTGATAATAATACGTTAAGATTCAGCGTCTGCCCCACACAGAATAGAGGTATCCTGCAACCAATTTCAAATTTTGTCTCCAATTTCAGTCGGCCATAGAACCTACGTGCTCTCAAACAGGGAAATATTTTGCTTGCTTTCAAACTATTAAATATTTTGTGTTACATTATAATTACCGTAAGCAAACGCCTGCTTTACACCATCCTGCTTAACAAGGGGAAGCAAGGGCAGCATTTTGCTAAGGATCTCCTTAATGTGCGGCACAACGCCGTGTGTGTTGACAGCAGCTAAAGTGCCTAAAGTATGAGTTATCGTATAATGTGGCAATGTCGCTGGAGACAGCTGGTCGATGAGGGAGCGGAGCACCTGAGGAAAGTATTTGTAATTTAATAGAACATACCTATTTTAATTAAAAGTAATTACAAGCAATGTGTTTAAAGCTGTATAACATATGCAAAGCAATATTTACTAAGACTTGTCAAAATGGAATCGTACTGTATGGTTAACGTGACCATACGTCCCGCTTTGAGCGGGACAGTCCCACTTTTAAGCTTCGCGTCTCTCTGTCCCCAAAATATTTTAAAATGTTCGGCTATGACTAAACAGCCTTTTACGTAGTTGTGGAACGTATTTAAAAACTATACCTGCCAAATTAATGCATTGTTCGTTCGAAAATTATAGATTACACAAGATTAGTTCTTATTTTTAGCTTGAATTCGTATTGAAATGCTAGTGCTATTACAATTTTTACAATAATATGCACACAATATGTGCTCTATTGACATATCTCGTCCAAATACATTATGTTGTAAAGTGTATTTGTCAAATAATACTATTGTCTGCATAAAGAATAGATTTATTTTTAAAACCAAGGACAAGCCAATATAAATAAGAATAACAATTTACATATGCAGGATGAAACATAAAGTTAAATCACATTTCAGCTGGTGAGAATACACTGTGGTGGGGACACTGTGGTTTTAATAAGCACGTGTGATGTGGTCCACGATTGAACGAACACCTATCCGCAAACGTCGAAAGTGTTAAAAACGACTAAATGTTTTGTAATTTTTTTCTGTTCTGAAACTTATTTTATTCATTGTTGTATTTCGACGGTATATTGTGTTTGTTTATATTATTCTTATATTATTTTATTTTAAATTAATTAATTATTGGTCATATTACGAAATAAATGCTCTATTCTGTTCAATCTCAAGCTAAGTAAATTCATGGCAGAGACTGTAGTTTCTGCCATGAATCGGATGAGACGTCTGCATTTCCTAAGACAGTGTTGGGCAAAGACGGCCCGTGGGCCATATCCGGCATATGAGGCCCGCTACGAAAGGCTCTAATACCCGTCGACATCCTATCTAAAGTAGGAGTGTATGGCCCTCGGAGATACTCTAAAATTATTTTAAATTTACTTCATAGGTAATTTATATCTTTATTATAAGAAATTATTATGTAAGTACATAGATACTATCTGCGTAATGTGATTTATTCCACTTATGGAAAGTCGGAAATGTTGGTCACAGATGCCTAAATGAGATGCACTCTCGTGGACCCCCGTAATACCTAATGCATCCTCTATTTTATTTTTTCACTGATATGGATCCGTTGCAGGTTTTTTTTAGTGATGCCAAGGTACAGGACGAACATGTCGTGCGCATGGTATATCACAGTTGCATTACCACTCAGAGCCTTAAATCACTAAGATCCGAGGGGCACTGCCAAGGCGCCCATCACCCTGAGACAAATTGACAAGTCCTATGTGCCTTAATTTCACCAGCACCTTCACCCTTCAAAACCGGAACGCAGTATTGTGAGCATTACTGCTTGGGGGCAGGTATAGGTAAGGTGGCAGTACCTCCTTACATTCCTACAAACGTTTTCACAAGGACTCTACTGTTACTAAACTGTACACTGTTGGAGTGGACCTCTAGGGGTAGATATACACACACCAATTTGGGAATTAAATTATACTGATGAAGGACTGCACATTCCACGAAATGTCACCTTAATAATAATAAAATTTAAATTTTTTGTAGCAAAAAAGTTTGGATTGATCATTTTTTTACTGTTGATCTATTATCGATCTAGAAAATAAACAATATCAACTGGTTTTTGAACAACCAGATTGCTGTTAATCAGTATGGCAAATATATACGTATTGATATTTTATATAATCATGAATGTCTGTTCAAAGTATGACCTCATTTTGTGCAACATCTGCCTATTTGTTTCCACTGATTTGTAGTTTTTGTTCATATTTATGTACAATTTACATAATAACAGACTTTAGTTCAGTTGATTATTCACAGAACCATGTTTTCTTATAAGTAAAATGTACTAGAAATCGTTTGTCGGTACATGGTTATTGCGCTTACGGCAGGGTGCCAGCAAAGTCCATTTTACAATGAACAGAAGATGGCAAATCACCTTCACAAACATTGAACGTATTTAAAGACAATCGCTTCGTTTTTTTACCCCTGTGCAACCATTTTATATCCTATTTAGACAGATATTTATAGGTTTATATTACTAAAGATTTTTGCAGGATGATAGATTAGTAGGATGATAATTTTTATTCTCAGTTTAGCTATCTTGGAATAGTTGTTTTGGGAAATTAAATACGATACATGGTGTTAGAAAATAAAAATTACTTTGTTTATTATGCAATGCAATAAAAAAAGAAATAAGGAAATTAATAACAAAACGAACAAGCCAAATCGGTCTATGACATGGCCACAGACGTCTACACAGTACATACTCCTTTGCTGATATTCTACCATAGCCCAAGAACCCACCAAAAACTTACCAAACACACATCTATATACACCTGAACAAAAACAAGCGACATTGAATGTTACTAATACTAATAATTCAAATGGGGAAATCATACACCTAAGTCGAATCTAAGTACACTCATTCCACTCAAATCGAATGATTACCGATCCATTTGGTCAGGTGAACGAGTCGAACGATTATTATGTCTTCGAAACTCCCTGAAACTCCACCATCACCATGTCCATGTCAAAATATCCCTGTCCTCGTCACATTTATAGTATTTACTAAACATCAGAGAGGGCTAGGTGATCATAAGTATCGAGTATGTGCTCTATGGAATAGTAATGAATGATCATTCAGATCATTCGAATACGAAAATTAGTAGTTTACTAATTTGTCATTCGATGACAGGATTAGTAACTACTAACGAACCAAATATCGAAATCATTTATGAAAGGCATCAATGACACGAAAAATATATCCCAAGCTGTTCAGTACTCCGAAAGGCCATATCCATGGAATCTGAGACCATGTAAATTTTGATTATAGGTTAAATAATTTCTTAGAATTTAGATCCTTCCACTTTTATAAATTTTATACCATGTTTAGAAAATAAAAAAAGACCTTTAATAGAACTATATAGAAAAGGAGGAATACCTTGACGTATTTTATTTTCGTGTTTCTTAAAAAAATATTTTCAAATTCTCATTTATAATATACTCAAATTTTATCTGATACTCTTTGTCTCTACACTTGCCTTTCTATCAGGCACTTCCCAATTCAACGCCAGATTTGATTATGTTTTCTGTGCTAGTTACATTATAAGTTTTGGCAGTCTAATTTTTTAAATTCAATGCAAATTTATACTACATCATCAACATTGTTAACCTTTAATAAACAAGGAAGCGGAAACTAGACAAGCTAGTGGAACCGATCTTTGGTGGCAGGGCTGTGAGTTTTTCCGCAGAAGTTAAATATTTAGGGGTAACCCTAGATCAAACCCTAAGGTGAAACTGTCATATAGCTAACACGGTTAACAAGGCCAAGATGGCCTTAGGTATCTATAGTCGTATAGCAGGACAGCGTTCGGGTCTTAAACCAAAGATGACTCTCTGGTTATACAAGGCAATTGTAAGGTCAATAGTAACATATGCGTCTGTTGTTTGAGTGGCAAAGTCAGTCTAACAACCACTATTGTCACTTTGGGCAGTCTACTGCGTGTCGCGTTCCTGCTAACAACGGGAGCCATGTTCACTACCTGGAGCGGCCCTAAATGCATTGCTGACTCTGACTCCCCTACATGTATTCATACAGAAGGAGGCCTGTAACAGCGTGTATACGCTCTCCACCAGGTTAAGGACTAGATGGCTTTCCCAGGCATTGAGATCGGCCCACGACTCAATTCTGGAACATCCTGTTCTGGGAATTACTTCTGATGTCATGCTCCCCAAGCAAAACTTCAAGAAACTCTACCAGGTAGAATTTCTAACCAGGGAAGACTGGGAAACTAACAGCCTCATCTGGAAGGACTTAGCCTTAGCCTTCTTTGGTGCAAGATGGCACCCAACATAGGCTGTGGTATACACGGCGTGAGACCCAGACTCAGCTACAAGCTGAGCATGTGACGTCACACCTCTATCTTTCAGGCCGAAATATACGCCATAATTGCTTGTGCGGATCTAAACCTGAAAAGAGGCTATGTTAGCAATTATATTTATATATTCATATAAACTCAGATAGTCAAACCGCTCTGAATGCACTAACCTCAGTCACCCAAACTTCGAGGATTGTAGAGAACTGCATAACTATACTGTATTTTCTCGGGGAAAGGAAAAATGATGTCTGCGTTGGGTTCCTGGTCACTGACATCGAGGGTAATGAAGCAGCGGGTGAACGGCAAAGCTCACTTTGCTGAACGAGAGCTCCCATGTCTCCTGACACGTGTGGCTGCAGACTAAGGGTCTTGAGCATTCAAAAGCCCTGATAGCTGCCTTCAGTGCCAAACGCTGTAGAGAAGCTCTGTCACTGGACAGGAATGGCGTCAGAATTCTGACTAGAGCCTTAACAAGACATTGTGGCTTGAATAAGCACATGTCAAATACTGGACAGAGAGAAAACAGAGAATGTAGATTCTGCGACGAGGCGGATGAAACTCCTGTGCATCTCCTCACCCAGTGCTGCCCTCTGATGGGCGTGAGAAGTTCCATACTGGGTAGGCACAGGCCACACCTAGAGGACATAAAGACTATCGGAGCCAGGAAAGTCCTTCAGTTCCTTAATGCTGTGTAATGGTCTTGGCTCCGAGCTGTGATTAGTGGTGATCACAATGGATCATTTATGGTCGCAGTGATGAGGGGCCTCATAGGCCCCTAATGAAGCCACCCTACTAATAAGGAACCTTTCATAAACTCCATTGCTGAATACAGGTCTCAGGCGAGAATTTAGGCTACTTGTGTGTTGAAGACTTAACCTGTTTCCCAAAGATTGTGAAACTTCTTCTACATGCAGGCTTACGACAGGTAATGCTATTACTCTTTAAAAATTTATGGTTACTTTTAGTAAAAATTATATGTTATGCACTTAATTTTATTGACATTTTGTGCTCATATCTAGTAGCACACATTCTCCACTAATCATAATGTAAGCGAAGTAGATTTCCACTAAACATAATTTAAAAACGCCATATACAGCAAGTGTTGAACAATAATTTAACTGCGTTTTTTTAAGGGAGTCATTGAAAATAAATCTTTTATGTCAATGCAATAAGAATGAAAAAGATGTTGTGTTGTTGCGTCGTTTCTCCCTGAGAACTTTGTAAGTAAACTGATAAAAACAATGGAATTTTTCCTACTCACCAGGTCCAAAAGCTCATGTCCTATGGCCACCAGCACTGCAGAAGCCCCCATCTGTATCGCAGGTTCATAACCAGGATTCTCTGTCATTGCTCTGAGCATAGCAGAGACTAACTCTGTAGCTGTTTGAGACTGTAGTTTCTTGACTTGATTTAAGCATGTTTGCTCAAGAACTCTGGAAAAATATGGTAATACAATTACAGTATGTTGCAGGTTGACAATTCGCCTTTCAGATCCTAAAAGTTCAAATCCTTAAATCTTTTATTTCTTAGTGATACACAGGGTATAAAGGGGTTCCATTTTCATCATTTTGCAGCAAACAAACACAAACCATGAAGTACCAGAGTAAAAAAAGTATGTTTATATATGGTCCCTTTGGATCGTTTTTGGATGAATGGTAGATTACATACATCTCAGTGAATGAGCGGAAATGGCGGGTTCTTATGTAGTTTTGTGGGTTTTTGTATTACAGTTTTTATAGAAATGAATGTTTAGTTTAGGTATTGTTATGCCAAATTCGCAGTAATAATTGAGTATCAAAATCTCGATCAATTAATAGAATTATCAATTGTATTGATTTAGCTACAATATCTTTAAAAAAAGAAAAGAATGTTTACTTATTGAATTGTGCAATGAGTGCTTGTTAAAAGTTTATTACTGTTACTTGTTAATATGGCGCCACCAAAATCTAGAGTATGGACATATTTTATATCTCCTAAAAAAGTATCAATATAAGTAATTGATACTTCTGAAGTACTCATATGATTAGTATCGCATGACAAATTGATTACTACTCATTTGAGTATGTATTGATACTTTGGTGGTATCAGGACACCCCTCACTATACCCATGCAGGCCAACTAGCCACAACAAAATGGTGGAACTAGAATCAACTAAGCACTTTAATTTTCTGCAAGATAGAATAGGATGAAATTTAACAACCTGTTGATAATAGGACGCATTAATGCAAATTGAAACGAATAATAGTGTTATTAATACCTACACAGGCCAATTCCATGAGTTTAATAATAAATAGGAAACAAAAACATATTGGTAAATTTACATTGTACAATAAGGACAGCATTATTAATTACAATCCATATAGTAAGTAAATATTTAGATAACATTACCTACGTATGTTGAAACAATAAAATGAGATATTATAACAAAATTTGCTGTTTTGTGTAAATTTCATAGATTATAAAGAAAGATAAATGTTGCAATGATTATAATGTAAATCATCGGAAAATAATCTTGTCACTCTAACGATAAACACAAATCACTTACTTCACGACGTTTCCCAACTGCGTAGAGCTTACTTTTGTCGTGTTTTTATAAAACTCACAGAATATGTCTATTACTTCATTGGGATACGAATTCGCTACTTTCGACAACGATTTGATCACCACATTGTTCACGGAGTTATCACTATCCCCTACAGCGCTTATTAGCACAGTTACAGTTTCTGAAAGTAAATACAAATTGAAAAGAAAACCCCGTCGTCTTCGAAGCAATGCAGATGGCGCACTTCTAACTTGGATTTTATATTGTTACACACCTTTTAGAGCGTCAGCTTTCGCAGCAGACATTTTAAAGCTTGTTTCCGGCAATGCGGTGAGATTACATATGAATATTCACAAATATTCCGTATTTCTGTCTCCCAAAGATAAGACCCTGATGAGACATCAAAACAATATGACTGACAGACAGACAACTTGACTTTTCAAATAACAGTAAGTGACGTTTATACACATTGATGTTGCCAGTTTTTCTTATAAAAATGCTACTTACAATAAGTAGTAGCATTTTCGTTAAGACGATGACTAGGCACTGGAATCCATTTGTAACTGATATTGGGTAAACGCACCGGAGTTAAACAAGGCTTAATTCAGGGGCCGAATGCTCAATAATGGAACACAAGGATTTAAGAGATAATGTAAGATGTTATTATACAGGGTTGTTTTTCAAACAAATGGGAAACAATATAAATGAGCATAAGGCAAGACAACAATAGAGAAACTATATATCATCGAGTATATAACCAGAAATAGAGACGAAATGTCACTTAATTTGTTTGAAAACTATTCTGCCATATCATTACTGTGACAACTACGCTCCGATTGGCTAGCCCAAGTTCGAAACAACTAACGGGTGTCGTCAATTGGAGTCGTCAACTGTTTCACTTCAAATCGACCAGTTAACTTGAGTTTTGCTATAATGGACGATAATTGCAAAATTACATATTTAATATTTAATTACCGATGAAATGTGATTCAGTTTGTTTTGTAATTAGAAGTTTTGCTGTTTTTCCCACGCCACCGAATAGAACAGCACGGCATTGTTAAAGGTATTATCTTTATTACAATAAATACAGAATATTTTTTGGAATATACGGAGACGTACACACAGGTTAGTAGTTGGCCTGTCTATATTTCAGTACAAACGACAGTTGATATTTATAAGAGCTGTATCGCTAATGTGTTACCAGGAGTATATGGGCCTTATTTTGTATCTATTTCTGGTTATATACTAGATGGCTAGAATTAAACATTTTCTTCAATCGAAACTTTATGAAATAATATTATTACTTTAGGTGTATATATATAATTATTTATAATATATAATATAATTATTATATATATATATAGTAATTTCACAACAAAAACTACAGCACTGTTGAATATTGTTGTTTGAAATTGTGTGTATGCAAATAATTATTGCGACACCTAACGATATTTAAACAAAATGTGCTTCTAATTCTTTGTTCAATAACAATATTGAATCACTTCACAAATCACAAAATCACTTAAGTTACAAACATTAAAAGATTTTCTGACAGAAAGAGAGGTTTCACTTATATATAAATGAGAAAGATATACACATAGTCATAAGCACGATAGGCTTTAGCTTATGCTTACTTCAGAGTTCAATTTGAATCTGAAATGTTGACGTTGTGTTGACGATACTTACGCGCACATTCTGAAGTTAAATATGTTTATTTTTAAAACGCTTTGAAAATTGCAGGACTTACGGGGTTAAAGTATAAAATATGACATTCTAAAATATTTGGTTTTTTAAAATGAAATGAAGTTTTTATTTCTAGAATAAAATTTAGATCACAAACTTTTTGCAAACGAAATGTTAAACCTTCTAAGTTCTCTAATATTGGCATTATTCTTTTGTTTTAGTTATTTGACACTCTGAAGTCAAATATGAACAATATGGATACTTCTAAGGCACTGCGCAAACATGTGCATTGTGTTGATTACTTGCTTTTAGTTGCCGGTTATTTGGCAACTCGAAGCAAATATTCTAGTTTCATTCAATAGATATGAAACCAACACTATCACAGGTTGCCGCAACCTCAATTTGTATGAAAATGTTTTGTATTCGCTTCTAGTTGCAAGTTGCTTGTATCCAACACAAGACACACGTTTGGGCGGCACCTAAAGTAATAAGTAATTTTTGAATACGAGCTTCGACACAGCACTAATGCAGCTTGAAACTTTCGAAGCATTTGTACTCAATACTAAATTATTAACGACGTATAAATGTGTGATTAACAAACAATATATATGATAAGCATTGGAAACCTTAACCAACATAAACGGCTGCAAATGATCATCATGCACGGCGACACCTAGTAATGGCGCTGCTGGTGCTGATGGCGTTCTGTAGACTGTAAAATAGCCTGGATAGCAGTAATATAGCTTGGTCCAAGAGTGATAATAGCTTCCGCAGCCCCCGCAGCATCCCTACGTCTTACTTAGCAAGTTTTAGCAGTTGAAAAGACGAAAGTCCGGTTTATAGGAATTTATTCAGTACAACAACAATATTAATACTTAAAATGTAAACGGTTCATAAATATAGAAAAGTACATGTTATCGCTACCGCGATCGCGGAGAGAGTCACCGTGGTACGAAGCAAAATGAGAAAGCGAAGGAAGATGGAACAATTCAAATTTAAAATTGAAATACAAGCAAAACAAAAAATGATACGATACAAAAAGGTGAGATGACGGTGTAAGGAGGTATCACCGTCACAACCTGGGGGAAAGTTACGAGTGGTGAGCTATTGTTGGAGCTGAATCGTCGAAAACTACGGAGGTATTAGCAGCATTTGATGTGACCATAATACTGTTATTATTATTATGGATATCGATTAGTTAATATGAACTAAATCGATAAAATAAATAAATAGAAAAAATGTTATCTGCCTATCTTGTTTGAAACACGATCTCTTTTAATAAATCGACAGTACTGATAATGAATAATGAATTCTTTGTGATAATCGCAAAGATAAATCGTGGAGTGATGTGCTTCTTTAGGTCTGGTTCCACACTAACAACTTTTGTTAATTGTTATTACATGTATAGAAACGCAAAGAAACAATCACAATTAGAGCATTGATTAAATGAATGTTATTTTTAAAATATATTTTTCATATTCTAAATTTTTATTATACATATGGAACGATAATTTCATACTTAGCCTGTAATATTTTATTAACAATAATAATAATAATAAAATAAATTATATTTCCAAAATCAGAAAATTCCTGTATATTCTGTATATACTATATATATTTAGACACCGCCTATTATCACCGGCTCGCTGTGGCAATCTCTTTGGACGAGAGTCGCCAAGGAGAGTGTTACACTTCCCAAAAATATTCGATAGTTTTTTAGTTACGTGAATTGTCACAAGTCAGCGATGGGAAATTGTTTGAACTGTTTGGTAAAAAGTAATTTGTAAAACTACGAAATATTATAATTTATGAAGTTCACGAGACCGTTTTATTGTTGGTTAGGGGAACGATAAATTTCCCAAACATTATATATTATTTTATATGTATTTTATTAGTGCATTAATGATTTAGGGTTCCATTCGGAGTTTATTCGCAGTGTATTCACAGCGTAAAAACAAAATGTTTCTGTAATTGTACACATGTTTAAAAACTAGCACTTTATCATCATCATCATATCTGGCGGACGCCGTCCACTGCTAAACATAGGCCTCCCCCAAAGATTTCCTCAGCCAGTCGGACGCGACATGCATAGACGTGTCTAGCACTTAAATAAATAAAAATTTCCAAATTAGTAGATTTTCATGGAAGATCATTGTCTATGGTCGCAAAGGAAGTTTGACGTAAATTGAGTATTTTAAAAAATGAAACGGACAGACAGTGTTGTCCTCATTGCAACGAGAGTTCCGTACATTTAACAATTATTTTATATTGGAAAAATCTAATGTGATAATTTTAAACGTGGCTTTATTTTTCTTATTATCGAAAATGACAACAATAAAGACATTAAAATATTTTTCAATTAATTAAAACATGCTACTTTATTTCTTATGAATGGGACTCCGAATAATTTAAATTCACCAAAAATTAATTTATTCTGGGTTTGACTGCTTTACAAATGAAATTAATACCTACAAGCGTAAGGAAAGAGCAGTACCTAGCTCTCAGATAATCTATAGTTGTGTTTATAAACATAATACATAAGAGTTTTATGTAAATATTTGGGTCTACCCTGATTTGAAAAAAATTGGCCCGTGTTTCTATTCCGCTTCTACAATTTGTTTAGTCTATGGTTTTCCTGTTGGAAGAGGAACGGACGAACGCCTCGCGTTTCTCACAGAACGCGTATAAATTCACGGACGTGCGATATTGTTCATCGAACTCAGTATATTTACACGGGACCAAGCGTCTGAGCGGCTCCGAAACTATTTTCAGCACATTTACGAATCAGAACAGAAAAAACCTTAACGACTTTCACCGGATACATCGATAATTCGATTAGCGAGACAAGGGGTTGCGAATTATCCCAGATATCAGTAAATTGATCACTATACGAGAATGTATTGGTGTGATGGGCCAGTAGGCGACATATCCGTGTGATGTACTGTGTGGTTCATTTAAGTGACAAAGCGACAGAGGCTCCCATTCGACATTATTATCCTATTCGTGATTGTCATCACGTTGGACCGGGAGCTGGCCACTCGGGTTAGTCGTCGCGGGGACTCCAAAGCGGCAAATACGGAGTTGCAAACCCTGCTCCGCATCATACATCGCCAGGATTACGGTAAGTAGCTACCTTCATTTTCTAACTCTGGCTAAAAACAAGTTGTTTTACGCTTCCCGTTACACTAGTGTTGACATTGAAAGCCGAATCAGCTGCCTAAAGCTCTAAAAATAGCTATTAAAATGTCAAGTCTCCTGGCACCGGGAAGCAATCAGCTGATCCAAATAGAGCTTCAATTATATCCAATTAGGTAACTGACTTTGAAAGATCAGTGTTATCTAGAATTACGTTTATATTACTTGGTAGTTTCATTGGGTGATAAGTTATCATTGATTTAGATTTAACATAATTGACAGCTGTGAAACAGAGTTGACAGTGATTCAAGACAAGAGACTCATTATTTTCTTCACGACCAGGATTAGACAATAAATGCGTTTTATTCCATTTGGTAATTATTGTTGCAGATCTAAAAATGGTGCAGCAGGATTTGACTTAGGCACGTGGTGGTGCGTGGATTGACAGTGACAGTGCGATGGCTCGGGGCGGCTCGCGGGTGTGAGCTCCGTGTGAGCCTAGACCACGGTGTGAGTGTAGTGTCTAGTCATTGTGTGTGTGAGTGCGTCCGGGATGCCCTCAGCGATGTTGTCGGCAGTGCTTGAAGAGGAGCCCGACCTGTACGAGGCGTTTCCACCTCACGTTGACCCCACCGGAATTACAATTTTAACAGACAGTCCACCAGGTGAGGCACATATTAATTTATTCTATATTAACCAACCCTTATCAGAATGCAGTATTGAAGAAACTTAACAATGTGCAATGTCATACGCCCCATTGCACATACATCCATTGTTAAATTACATGCTGTATCTGGTTTTCTTTTGATAAAATAAATTATAATTGATTTTAAAGGGCTTTTCTGCAACTTGATTTTTAAAAATTTCATTAAAATATATAATATTAAATTAGTAAATTATTCTTTCGATAATTAAGAATAAACATTAATGTGGCCCTGATGTAATAAACATAAAGATTTAGACAATTTTTTTTTGTGTTGCTACACACATTATTTCATTGAGTAACTCTTTCTAATTTTTTTTTGTGTTTGTAATTTATTTATAACTCACTTCTGGTTACAATATTAATTTGAACTCATTTTTCTTATAAGAAAACTTGTATTGTCATTACTTAAGGATATGTTTATATTTTTATTTGCTAAAGTAATTTAGTTGTTTGCTTGTGCAATAAAATAAATTGGATCAGCAGACTAGGTTAAAATACTTTCTTGATAATGTATGGCTTGATTATTACAGTATTATCATTTACATAAAAAAGTATTTCAAATATTATACAAGTAGGGTTCTTCAATGATGATTTTCGAATTGTGCAACTTGGAATCTTTGCAGTTAGAGTGAACTAGCATCTTCCAGACAAATGTGTGCCATCCTCATCCTCTTTTTTTCTATCACGAATCTCATAACAATTAATAGTTTAAATGTGACCAAAATTCACTATTTATTTTTCTACATAGTTACTTTGCAAATCACATGACTCCCTAATCATACTTCGCAATCACAATTAAAACCCGATAAAACGTGTTTTTCACAAGTACTGCACGTCAACATATAAAACTGATTATAATTAAAAAATACCATAATCACAAATTTTATTAATAAACTACCTAAAACTGTCAGACGAAAACGCATTCAATCAATTTGTTATCTCTATGTCATGTGTCTACTGTATCCTGTGTTATATAAAGTGGGTAATTGGAATTGCTTTTATATTCAGTTTAAAAAAAATTGCTTTTTCTAATGTCACATTTATTGCCTACAGTCTTCCTTGATATTAAACAACAATGCGGCCTGATGATGTTACGAATTCTTTGTAAATGACTATTAACTTTTGCTTTGAATTTCGGGAACACTGATGCGGGCGGTGTATTTTATTCCTTTGCCGTGTACGCATCTGTAGAGCTAGCACGACAGGGCACGATTTGTATGAGGGCGACATAGAAGAGATATTGCTATTCTCTGTGCGGGAATAACGCGTGCCTTATTCAAGTGTGACCACAGTCGAGTTTTTGAGTAGCCAGAGAAAAGTCGCTATTTACTCGGTTCTAGTCGCAAAAAAATACATTTAGTCTGGCTGCCGTTCAAAAGGTAAAGTTTTACATGTCCACCCTGGAATAATCTTATTTCAGCGGCACAACATCTAGCTGAGATCTGATTACACTGAAAAAAGTCGTGATTTAGTGGGTTCTAGTCGTAAAAAAACTAGAATTAGTCGTTATGCCGTTTTGAAGTTATTAAGGTGTTTTACTGTCCACGCTAGAATAAGCTTATTCCGGCGGCACAATTTTTGAATCTCGAGAACCACAACTCCTAGCTTAGATCTGATGGCATCCAGGAAAAATCGTGAGTTACTCGGTTCTAGTCGTAAAATATTAGAATTAGTCGCTCCTTTGCTTTCGACTAGAACTGACTGAATAGCGACTTTTTTTTTAGTCGAATTTCAAAAACTCGACCACGCTAGAATAAGGCACGTGGGAATAGCAATATCTCGCGCTTTATGGGCTTCTTGGTAATCGACGGATTGTTCTGGACTTTATATGTAGTTCTCTTAAGGAGCAACGATGAGGGTGGAAGTTAATTAAATGATTGTTTTTAATTATATACCAAAGTGTGATTTTATTTTCCCGATATCTACCGGTTGACTGTCGTGAGTGTGTAACCGTTCTGAAATATCGGAAAAGTAAAAATAAATCATACCGTAGTAATAAACCTGTGAAGTCGTAAAATCTATATGAAAAATAATTGTGAAGCACCAGTGCACACTTTCCGAAAAGTAAATAATATCCGGTAGAAGAACTTAGCAGAGATATTTCAGTTGTATCATATCAACGAATAAACGTGCAAAAGTTTTTACACATTTAAAAAAAATCAGGCTATAATGTTTATCTAGGAGGTTTATAACGTAATTTTTTTTACACAAAAAAAGATAAATAATCTATAGTATTGTAATTCACAAAGCGTTTTTTTTCTAGAAAAAGCATAAATATAAATGACCCAGATAAAATAATACACATCTAAAAAATTTAAAATTTAATTTACGACGTAAAACCACAATTTAATTTATACGTTTTCGGTATACCTACTTTTTGTAAAAATCCGTTGATTGCAGAGTTGTTGAAGTTTTTACTCTTTATTCTTCCTGTAAAGTTGGTGTTTTAGTTATACACGTTAATTCAGGGGGGGCGTGGATATACAAGCGACATGACCGCCTGATGCTTATACGATAATCGCCATGTAAATTTTTAATTCTAAAGAAACATACTTAAAATCGCAAATACTTTGTCCGCCGTTGGATGTTCTTAAATGTTCTATGATTTGGTTATCCCTAACCTTCAATTCGGATCACATCATTTGTGGTAATTGGAAGAGCGATGGTATCTAGCCAGGATTCTTTACTGATTACTATATCACGAACAAAATTGGATTAGTACACTGATTGATCCGAGGCTCGGACGAGCTCGGAAGCACCTCAGACGTCACTCGTCCGTGAAACGGACGCGACACGTTGTAATGTTAATCACTTCATATGAAATGTACGCAGCATTTCCAATCCGAAACTCGTATGTGGCTCGGCTCGAGCCCGGCACGGTCTAATGTGAGTAGTCCTTTAAGCGTGAAACATGCAGAGAGCGGGTGGGGTCGGGTCGGTTCCGCGGCGGGTCTAATTCAATGTATTTCTATGGACGACAACACACCGAATTAGACCCGCCGCGGTCCCGACCCGAACTGCACCCGCTCCCGAACCGAACTGCACCCGCTCCCGAACCGAACTGCACCCGTTCCCGAACCGAACTGCACCCGCTCCCGAACCGAACCTAACCCGCTCTCGACCCGAATCGCACCCGCTTCCGACCCGAACCGCACCCGCTCTGTGCGTGTTTCACGCTTTAAACCAATGCTTGCAATGCAAAAGACACTTTTAACAATTGTGTTACAAGCGTCTTATCAATTTAAGCATTGATCTAAGACATACTTACGTTTTAGCGCAAGTCGATATTAATATCTCAAATTCTACAATAGTCCTTTGATTCTCATACACCTGTAAATTTTTTTAACGTTTAAAGTGATAAAATAATTGTCCTTTTGCAATCCTTTGTTTATATACGAAGCGTGATTCCTCTATTACTACATTTGTTCTTGTCATTCGTAACAATTATTTACTATTAGAAAATCTTGAATTAAATTCTATTCAGTTTTAGGCTTCATTTATATAGCGTAATGAACCTTATGTCAAGTGTGTAACTTACAAATCAGTGTATTTAGTCTCGTTCGACATTTCATCCGAAACAATACTCTCAAATAAGTAATAGGTACTCGACAAAAACAGAAAACAATGTCAAGTATGAAGCTTCACTCGCATCGTGTGTCCTTTAATTTCATCGAGTATAACTTATTTGGCTGTAATTGTTTTGAACGGATGTCGGACGGAACATCGGAGTAAACTCCCTGATACGAGACGGCAGCTGCGGGAATACCCACGACTACGCGAGAATTCTCCGCAAGATGCGTGACTTGTTTTTTGGCACGTATCAAGTTTTTACACGGATTTCTTATAAAATTATTTATAGTTCTGGTTATAAATATTTGCTTTTTTATAATTATTAATACAAAAAAATCCTTCGATCTAGCTGGATTCGAACCAACGTCTTTTAGCAAACTGTGTTAGATGCTATGCCAACTAAGCCACGGAACGAACCAGCAGACCTTGCGAATTTTTCTATACAATATATATTTTTCAAATGCCTTTAATTTCGTTTGTAATAAAATAAATTCCGCTCGACCCAAGCAAAATGAACCTTATTACTGTGGGAAAAATTTGAATTCAAGCTAAGGTAGTATCGACTCTTACAACACCAGACAACCTTTGAGTTAGAGGAAAGCTAATCGGAGCGGGAGACGTAGTGTGCCAATTTTACAAATATAAAAATAAAAAAAGTTAATTGGATAAATTAAAAAAAAGTACAAAATAAATAAATTAAATAAACACAAATAGTACATAATTTATAAAATATTTAATGAATAATGATATATTATACCTACGTAAATATATGTATATATAAATATACACACGTTGCAGACTAGGACCGTGTTAGAAGATATTTACGCAATCCGGTTTTGAAAATAGGTAGCGACTTAGAATGTCGGATTTCAAATGGGAGATCGTTCCACAATTTTGTAGCCTTAATCGTAAAGGAATCTTTGTAATACTCAGAGCCAGTGACAGGAAGCTTCAGCAGTGAGCACTGAAAATCATACTCAAGGCCATGCTATTAGGGTCGTATTTCCAGTGCTTGAAATCATACTCAAGTTTGCTCAAATCCTGACTTGAGTAGAGTTCTGGAATACGACACTCAGTATTTTACAAATAACTCTGCATTCATAGTTAGAACGAATTCCAACACCAGATCTTTTTTTATGTTACCAAGTGACGGAACTAGTCGCGAGTCTGGTGGTAAGTGACACGCCTATCCATAACAGTTGCAGTATCACTCAGAGCTTTAAATCGCAAAGATCTTAGGGGCACTGTCACTGCGCCCGTCACCCTGACATATAAGCTGAAAAATCCCATGTGCTTGTAATTCCACCAGCACCCTTAGGAAGTGAATACACTTATTAACTTGGAATCGGCTTGAGCCGATCAGAAAAATCTTTATTTCGTATCCGCGGC